AGTTAACAACTACACTAACATTTTTAAGGAATGATGGAGTAATAACAACGTAAATAAATTCATATCTAACAACAAAAGTAATGGGTATATTAATTTAAATGACATACCTTATATGTGATACACATTGAAGCAAATAATAACATCTAATTGCATCATCAAAATTCTCTACCGACAGGCCTCGTTCTAAACATGTCACTGGGAGGATCACCCTCCAAATTTGAAGTTTTTTCCTGGAAGTTGAAACCTTGTTGACTATGAGGATTTGATCCGGGTACCTCAAAAAAAAAAATGAGGATTTGATCCGGGAAAAAATTTCGACGACGAAAACAGGCCCCCCCAGAATTTTTTGGGTGTATCGGCAACCATTTTGTCAAGGAATTTGTAAGGGATTTCATATGTGACAAAAATCCGTGACAAAAACGTGTAGACATTTTGTTATGTGGAAAAAAGTGATGCTAGTGAGTGACGTGAGAAGGAACATGTATTGAACTAGGCCCGTAGATAGAACTTTCAGGTAAATCAAATGTTTTTCTGAATTATTAATATTTTTCAAATAAATTCTTGGGTTTTTTACAAAAATATTACTAAAATAAACGATCGCTTTTTTTACTAAAATAAAACTTATTTACACAAATATAACTATTAGTTAGTACAATGTAGTGTCATAGTAACTTAAGTATAAAAAAATGAACATAAATTACTACAATTTCATTACTACTCTAGTCATTAATCATATTTTTTTTGTAAAGAATCTTCATTTTAGTCATAATTATGTAATTATTTCTAAATTCTTATATACATTTTTCTAAATTATAAATCAAATGTTTTTTAAAATTTGAGTGGGTCTTGGCCAAATGGTGGCCCACTTAGCTATAGATATATTGCTAGTGATGCTGGTTGACAGGTTGTTGATATATTGTTCCATAAGGTGGAATCTCCCACTCCATGGTCCCCCTACCCTGACCCGACAAAATAGTGGAGGAGTATGTCACATTGACTTAGTCGGGTCAATGGTGGTAGACCTTATACTAGTGGTGGACCCGGTTCGGGCCGCCCGGCCCGGGACCGGCCCGGCCCGTCACTGTGCGGGCCCAGAACCGGCCCGGTTCTCGGGTCCGGGTCCGGTTCGGGCACCGAACCGGTTGGGTTAGCAGGTCCGGGCCCGGGTCCTGTTTTTGGAGGCCCGGGCCTAACGGTCAGTTTTTTTTTAAAAAAAAATCATTTTAATTTGAAAAAAAACTTTTGGCTCAACAGCCACTTCCCAAACGGCTATATAGCCGTTGGGGGGGGTACCAGGGGGGTCCGGGGTGTTTGGGGGTGGGGTGGGGTGGGGGGTGGGGGGTGGGGGGTGGGGGTTAAAAAAACCCTATAAATACTCCTAATTTTAAACATTTTTTCACACCTCTTCTCCAACTCTCCCTAAATCCTACTCTCTACTCATCTCCAATTCTCCATATTCATCTTCTCAAATTCTCTTATTCTCCTTTATATTTTATTTTACTATTTAATATTTATACAATTATTATATCTATTTATATATTAATTATCTACTTATAAATACATATACTATATTACTTATATTTCTTATCTACTTAATCTCTACTTATATTTCTTAATACATACATACATACTACATCTACTTAATATATACTTTATATAATAAAGTATTAAATATACTTTATAAACTATTACTATATACTTAATACATAATAATATCTACTTCTCTACTTAATAATATCTATTTTATATATACTTATTTTATAATATCTACTTTTATATATACTTTATAATATCTATTTTATATATACTTATTTTCTTATTTTCCAATCTCCAATTCTCCATTATACTCTAATATTTAATTCTTATACAATTATTATATCCATTTAATACATACATTCTACATCTACTTAATATATACTTTATATATTAAAGTATAAAATAAAAGTGTATTACTCATCTTATAGTAGTATACTTACATATTATATACTATAAACATTATATTATATATTACTTACTATAACTAGTATTGTACTAGTTAATTAGTTAATTAGCATTCTTGTTACATTTATCATTATAATAGTTAATTAGTTCATTACCATTATTGTTACATTTTTCATTATACTAGTTAATTAGTTTATTAGCATTGTTGTTACATTTGTCATTATACTAGTTAATTAGTTAATGGAAAAATTGATAGTAATAATCCCAACTATTGGCGGTCCGCTCATAATAATCCCAACTATTGATTATTACAGAATAATCCCAACTTTAGGGACCTTCCGCCAATAATGGTCCCTATGAATAAATTCTTGTAGTTTCTAAAGTGGGTGATATGAGATATAACAAGTAATCCCTATAAATAATCTCAACTTTTATTTTTTACGCTTAATTTCTATTTAAAATTCACTTTTTATAGAGGTAATATATGGTCATGGACCATTATTGGCGGATAGTCTATATAGTTGGGATTATACAAAAATAATCAATAGTTGGGATTATTTTCAGCGGACCAGCAATAGTTGGGATTATTATTTTCAATTTTTCCTTAGTTAATTAGCATGGTTGTTACATTTTTCATTATACTAGTTATTTACTTCATTAGTATTCTCATTAATTGTTAAAACAACTCTACTTCAATAAACTAGTTAATTGTCATTAATTCATTATAGTTAAAGTCACATTTTCTTATTTTCCATTTATATTTGTAGGAAGAAATAGTAGTTCAATCATTTAATTAAAGTACTTAACATTTTATTTAATTAGTTTTTACTAAATTAAAGTACTTCAAAAGTTGGTATAATTTTAATTTTAAAGTCACACATTAATTCTACTTTGCACTAAATTAGTTTGAAGTATTAATTAAAATAGTTTTAATTAGTTGCATTAGTTTTGTATCCATTATTATATTGGTTGTCAATTAATATTTGTTACATTTTTAACATGGAAGGTGGTAGATATTCGGTTGATTTGGGTAACCTCCAACGCAATCGAAGGAACGAGATTGGGAGGAAGAAATCCCGCAAAGGTAAAGAACTTGCCGGTTCTTCATCTCAAAGCCGAGATGATTTTGAAACGGGTTACCAAAGGCGAGATGGAGATGCGATGTCCGAAGAACAACTCCAACAAGAATTGGCCCGACATAATAACCGCTTTCTACAACAACAAATGTCGACGACCATTGACGAAGAGGAGCTTGAGGATGAAGATGCGGAGGAATTGGAACCGGAGACGGCCGAGGAGGAGGGTGCCGGCAGCCATGACGCCGACGCGCCTGCCTCATCCCAAACCGCCACCGGTAATAAAAAAAGTAAGTCTGAACTAATGAAAAATAATTTTGATAAATGGAAGGACCCACAAACCGGCTATTGGCACGCAACTTGCAAGTGGTGCAACAACAATTATAGTTTGGGAACCTCCGGCGGATACGGATCCGCCGCAAGGCATCTTAAGGCAAAGCACCCCGTGGAGTATGCAAAATTAGGCGGCGGAACGGGGAAGCAAACTCAAATATCGAGGTTTGCGAATTCTCAACCTTTTGGTAATTTCTCCTACAATGATGCACAAAATTTGACTGGTATGACTAACTTAATTTGTGAAGAAAATTTGCCTTATTTGTTTTCTGAAAGTCTTGCTTTAAGAGATTATGCACAAGGTAGTTTAAATCCTCAATTTAGAAATTATAGTCGCAAAACTGTTAAGAAAGAAATAATAAGGCTTTATAATGCGGAAAAGGAAAGGTTACAATTTTTTTTTGCAAACTTTGATGGGCGTGTTACTATTTGTTCTGACATATGGGAGGATGATTTTCATCATTTATATTATTTGGGTCTGACTGCACATTATATTGATGAGGATTGGAATATGCATAAACGTGTTCTTGCTTTTCGTGAATTTAATGATCGTCACACCGTTGAACATATTTATATTTTGATTGAGCGTATTTTAATTGAGTATAATTTGATTGATAAGGTGTTTGCTATTGGTTTCGATAATGCTACTAATAATACTGCTGCTATACCTAGATTGCGTGAGTTGTGTGGTGCCAATTCTTTGATGGGTAGATTTTTTCATCAACGCTGTGCATGCCATGTTATAAATTTATGTGTGCAAGACGGTTTAAAAGCGTTAGGAGATTCCATGGAGGTAATAAAGGGGGGGATTAGACGTATTTGGGGTAATGGTCATGATGGATAGTCTACCCGGGGGGTATCTTATCCGAGGGGTTATTGCGGGAATAACTAGAGAGAAGTCAGAGCAAAATAGGAGGAGAGAGAGTCGATTTATTAAATGAACTCAGCGTGGTTTACAAGGAGAATAAGGGCTGCTATTTATAGCAGCAATAAATGTGATGAGAGTACGCGTGTGAGTAATCCAACGGCCGAGGGGTCACATCAATCGGGGTGGCACCGACCATCGCACGTTCCCCACATTAAATGCGGTGGGTGGATGTGACGTCGCATTAAATGCGGTGGTTGGCTGTCTCCAAAGGGAATCTTCGATGATTGAGTCCGTTTAGCCGAAGGCTCCTCGCGTAGCCGAGGGCTTTGTGTGGACGAAGGCATTGTGTGGCCGAAGGCTTCATGTATGGCCGAGGGCTTCATGTATGGCCGAGGGCTTCATGTATGGCCGAAGGCTTCATGTATGGCCGAAGGCTTCATGTATGGTCGAAGGCTTCATGTATGGCTGAAGGCTTGATGTATGGCCGAAGGCTTGATGTATGGCCGAAGGCTTTATGTATGGCCGAAGGCTCCATGTGTGGCCGAAGGCTCCATGTATGGCCGAAGGCTCCCTGTGTGGCCGAAGGCTTCATGTATGGCCGAAGGCTCCCTGTGTGGCCGAAGGCTTCATGTATGGCCGAAGGCTTCATGTATGGCTGAAGGCTCCCTGTGTAGCCGAAGGCTTGGCTCAGCCGAGGGCTTCCCCTGGTGCCGAGGGCTCCACAGTGCCGAAGGCTCCTGTTTTCTGTCGTTTTCTCCCAGTAGCTTCGCATGGTCAAATATGGCGGTTCTGTGAGTTTTAGAGCCTTCGGCCAAGGAGGCCGAAGGCATCCCTGTGTGTACTGTGGGCTTCTTGACGCTTGGGCCGCCGAATCTTGGGCCTCCTGAGCTCCTTGGGCTTGTTGGGCTTGTGATAGATTAGTAGGAGTCTGTGGGCCGGGGGTTCCCGGGCCATATACTCCATCAGGTCAACTTAGATTAAAATGGCAAAGTTATTTGACTGAAAGAGGTGTGAGATATGTTGCTTTTCCTAAAGATTTGAGTATTCGTTGGAATAGTACTTATAAATTACTTAAAGTTGTTCTTAGATATAAAGAACATTTTCCTGCTTTTTTAAAAGAACATGATAACTATATTATAAACGCGGCTGAGATCGACACTTGCGAAAAAATTTGTAATGTTTTGATATATTTTTTTAATGCTACTAAAACTTTTAGTCATGTTTATAAACCTACCGCAAACCAATTTATTCCACAAGCTGTTAATCTCGCCGATGCTTTTAAAGAATTTCAGAATGCCGTTTTCGTTCATTATTTTTGTGATCATATGAAGGAAAAGTTTTTAAAATATTATGCGCATATTCCCCATATTTATGATATTGCATTTATTCTCGATCCTCGGTATAAACTTGCTAATTTGGAAGATTGTTTCAACTTCTATTATCTTGCATTTTTCGGTGAATTTCCAATGTATGACGATAACCCCATAGATCCGAAAACGGAATACAACGAGGTTAGTACTTTATTCTATGCCTTATTTAATGAGTTTCGTGCACAATATAGCAACGCTCCCCCTCCCCCGTCACAAACATCTTCATCTAAAGGAAAATCGATTTTTAAATCTGCATTTGGCAATCTTATGAAAAAAACTAAAACAACTCACGTCACTGAACAAAGCGCATTGAATGAGATTACTTTGTATTTAACATATGAAGTTGATTTTGAAGAAAATGATGACTTTGACGTTCTAGACTGGTGGAAGTCAAAAGAAAGAACGTTCCCGATTTTAGCATGGATGGCTAAGCAAGTACTATCAATGCCGGTTTCGACAGTTGCTGTGGAACAAGAATTTAGTTCGGCCGGCAACGTCCTAACGGCATCTAGATCGAGATTGAGCGCGGAGTCTCTTGAGACGCTTATATGCTACCACGATTGGTTGAAGGCCGCACGTAGAACTCAAGAATTGAGCATCACCCCCTCCCAAGATTTTATGGATGACTCAACAACCGATGGTGGCTCTACCTATGCCGGAGATTCCGATTGATTAGTATTTTAGAATTTATTATAAAATGTATTTTATAGCACTTGTCAAATTTATTTATACTTGTACTTCATATTTCAAAATGGTAAACTTGTACTTCATATTTCAAAATTGTGTAGTTGTACTTCAAATTAATTTGTAAACTTGTACTTCATATTTCAAATAAATATGTGTTCACTTTTTCATATGTAGCACTTCTCAAATTAATTAATTGGTTACAATCTAACGACTTAAAATTATTTTTCTAAAATATAAAGCCGGTTTTTAAATTAAAAATACATTTACAATATGTAATTTGTTTAAATACTTATACACCTATTTTGTAACATTTGTAAATTATAAATCAAACCACTTTTCTAAGTACAAATAGTTTTAGTTTTACTTAATTCATTAAATTAATTAATTTATTCTACAATATGTGTATAACTTAAAAAAAAAAGTTAATTCAAACCTCCCAAACGGCTATATAGCCGTTGGGGCTATGGGTGGGGGGCAGGGGGGTCCCGGGGGTGGTGGTGTGGAGAGTGGGGTTCAAAAACATCTATAAATACATCTATTTTCTAACATTTTTCTACACCTCTTCTCCAATTCTTCTCAAACTCTTCTCCATCTTCATCTTCTCTTATTATCCTACATTCCTACTTATACAGTTATACATATACCATTTTAAATATGGAAAGTACATCTTCCCTTATGCAAAACAATTTTGACAAGTGGAAGGACCCGAAGACCGGACTGTGGTGGGCAACTTGCAGGTGGTGCAAGAAAGAGTGTTGCTTGGGGCGTTCATACGGATACGGGATGCCAATAAAACATATGAAGTCCTGTGACAAAGGGAAAACAACAACCAACGGTGGCGGAAATCCCAATTGATATTCATTACAAAATGTATTTCGTATTGTTATTTTTTTCTCAATTCTCAAATGTAGTTCTTATTTCAAATAAATGCACTTGAACTTTGTTTTTAATAGCAAATTGTATAATATATACTACCTCCGTCCCAGAATTATCTTCATAGTTCGGTTTACGATGTTTGACCGACGATAAAGCAACTTGATCCCTGTTCACACTCGAATTATTTTTAGTAAATAAAATTTACATATTCAGAAACTACATTAAAACCGCTACAAAGCCTGATTAAGAAAATTTGAATTTGATAAAAATTTGATATATAAAGTAAAAGATTAAGAGTAATTTGAGTTGACCATGTGAATAGTAACTATGAAGATAATTTTGGGACGGAGGGAGTAATTAATTAAAAAAAATTACTGGCCCGGCCCGGCCCGGCGGGTGGCCCGGCCCGAACCGGAACCGGTCATTGACCGGGCCGGTCCCGGGCCTACCATTATAAGACCCGAGGCCCGACCGGGCCTTGACCCGGCCCGGGTCCAACACTACCTTATACCCGTGTGTACCAGAAGTCTAGCCCAACTCGCAGGTTTCGATCCTTGGTCATTATTCTAAACTTTCCACCACTCGAACAACTGAGCTACCCGTGAGGGTGACATGTTGTTGATATATAGTTTGAGGTGATGGACTTATTAGGAGTTGGATGTGACGGACACTTTTTTCTTGATAAATTTATAAAAAAAATTGACTAGTGGTGATTTGTGGTGTGGAGTCACTAGATATAAGGAAAAAGTAGAGTGTAAATGAAATAGATAAATAAAGAGCAGATGAGTTAGAAAAAACACTCCTGGTCCTATTTGAGAAATCATGCTAAACTTTATTTATCGTGAATAAGAAAGTTTCTTTTTTTTTAGAAAACTCACAATAGACTCTCAATTTAATTATCTTTAACTTCTTAATTCAGTTTACATAGATAATGCTCCACCAATGCAAATCAAATCAGGTGATTTCCAATTAGAATTTTAGCAAGTCGGTCTTATTTAGGTCACATTGCGATTTCATTCTCTGATCTCAACATTGACACATCATCATGTCGCCACTTCATTGCCACATAAGTACCATCTCACTGAGAAATCATCTACCTTACATATTTTATTATTTTTATAATTTATTTTTTCTTTCTTCTTCCAACAGGTTGAATCTCCAATTCTAAGAACCCTGAATCTCCAATTCTAAGAACCCCCACGCTGCGACCCGATAAGGCTTTTGGGAACTTGTTAGTTACACTGACTCAGTCAGTTCAATGGTGATAGACCTTGTGTCCAATCCAGTACGCAGGGGATGTAACCTCCACACGGCCACTGCGAGTTTCGATCCTTTATCATTCTTCCAACTTCTACACTATTTAACCAACTGAGCTACCCGTGCGAGTAAATATTTTTCTTTGTTTCCACCGCCCTGCTTTCCCTCACCACCACCCTTCCCTATTCACTTTCCAACGCCCCTATCAATAGGCACAAACATCCATTATTGTGAGAGGGGCAAATTCTGGTTTGTTTGTTTGTTTAGGGAAAAGGATTAAATAAATCTATTTACATTGTAAATCCATCACCTATACCCATGTATTAAGCAACACATAAACATGTTTTCTCTACAAAAAGAATCACATCGATCAGTTAATATTTTGGAAGGTTAATGTTTTTTTTGCTAGTATTGTAATAATTTTGTTTTTTATTTTTTTCTTTACTTTTCTACCTATTTCTGGCTTGCTAGTTCTTCCCGGCCACCTCTTCTCCTTCTTATCTTTTTTTGTTCTTATTATTTTCTTATTCTTCTCTCATTTTTCTCATGGTATATATCATTGTGAATGCACTTGATATTTGGCTCACTTTATTCTTCAAACTTTTAATCGATTCACGACACTAAAGTCGTTTGTGTCTCAAAATAAATTAATGATTAGCATTAATAATCTTGATGGAGTATATTGTCATACACCCCAGGGGTATCACTAAGGTAACTCTGGCCACTAAGGTAACTCCGGCCAATACCGAGCTCCAAACTCGTTCTCATATCACCGAGACAAGTCCAAAACTGCAGCCGAGGGCAAGGTTGACCCTCACTGAGGTCGGTGGCAATTCCTGCACTGAGTATGACCTTCAAGCCAACTCCGCATTGTGAGATCAAGAATCAACAAAGACATGCCTACTTCACATTACGATCCAAGGTTCCCCACCTCTTAGCTAATAAAGCATTGACACCTGAGCTTGGCACGTGTTCTTTGCCCGAGTTCAGGACCTCAGATAGAGATCGTGGACTTGGACAATTCTGTGTTGAAATCTCACAACGCCTAGGTCAGGGTACGTCACCTTATGACAGTTGTCCCAAGGCTGACGTCATCATATTCTATTACACATGCCAGCTGCCACACTTACACACGTGACTTATCTAGCCATTCTCTTACGCAAGGACAAAAGTTGGTACAACAGTACCAATCAATCAAATATTATCTTTCCCATTAGCTTTACATGTGACAACAGATTAGAGAATTAGTTATTTTAGTTGTTCACCAAGTATTCACTTGTACACTATAAATATCATCTCCCGGGTTATGAAAAGGGATCACAATATCGATTTCTAGCTTAGTGTTATTCTGCCAAAATTCCTACTAAGTCTGCACTTTGTATATTTCCGGCTCTCCCTCAGTCTTACACACCCCCAGGTTGGTAAGGCTATCAGCCGTAGTAGAATTCATACCCACATGAGAATGTATAATTACTGTGTGAAATTGAAATAAAAAGGAGAGTTTTGAGTTTGTATGAACGTGATATTCTTGTTTTAAACACTAAGATGGGAAGAAGACCTGTTTGTTGGAATTTGGGAGGTAAGTTTCCCGATGAATGAAGTAGAGTGCTTTGTGAAGAGGTATGGAGATAGAAGTCTCCATCACCTAGTTCAAAATTTTCAATAAGAGGGTCATTGGATGTCGTGGCAACTGCGGATGTGGAAGGATTCATCTCTCCCTTCTTTTCTAGATGAATGAGCTATCATGTTCTATCTCGTGCACATTTATATCTCAAGATTAAGAGGGATGGATGGATTAGTCGACACTTTTGATGAACGGTTCCTCGGCCTTCAGGGCATGCTGAGGAGGAGTGGGCCTCATCTTTCTTGACGGATTCAGAGCATATACTATGTTATATGCTTCAACTTTAGAACACCCAACATCGAAACCGAGTATGACGCCCTCCTCAGCGGTCTCAGATTCGAAGCTGGGATAAAAGCGAAACACATTCGCTTTAAGTACGATTTTAAACTGATAGCTGACCAAATCATCGGGTCGCACGAAAACGTTCAAAGCCCACAAGATTACTCGGATCCCAAGGGACGAAAACGCCGAGGCCGACATGCTCTCCAAACTCATCTTTAACTCCCCTTGAACACATCTTAAAGATAGATAAATTCGAGGAACTCAACATATCCATCATCCATGAATGCCACATCCTATGTGTCCGGTGGTCACTGACACTATAGCTCTGGTGGTCACTTTCACTGGGAGGGTATAGAAGTCTTGCTAGTCATGTTTTTGGAAAAGTTTAAAATTAGTCCTAGTTTTTGTCAACATGTTTTTTAAAGTATCTGTGTCAAAATCCCTATTTTAATTAGACCATAAAAGGGATATTTTTAATCTGATTTAATCTTATTTGTTTAAGTGTGCTATCTATTTTATGTGTGATAGAGTATATAGATTCGGACCCTCAATCTCATGAGTATTGGGCCTCAACTGCGGTCCACACACACTCAGCGGACAACATTTATATTATTGTGCAGTTCACATATTATTTGCATCTATTTGATTAGTCTTTTACGTAGTTAGACCTATCAGACTCATATTAACGCCTAACGCGTGCTTTCTCTATATATACTCTCTTGAGAGATCTTGTAAACCTAATTCCTAATTCACACTACACATTCTGTTAGACTACAAGATGTTGATGAACAGTTCTTCTTGATTGATGCCAAAACTCTTCAATGATTTCTCCCCTTCATTTGTAGCTTTAGGAAATGTTGTACTCTGCTTGACTTATTGTTACTAGTAAAATGTCATCTGAAAGGAGGAGGTTTTTCAACTAAACAAATAGATATAACTGGAAAAACATAAAATACAATAAGGCAATATTTTATTGTCTTAAAAGGATATCATATAAACTAGTTAAATCTATTTGTTTAATGAACTGTGAACAACTAACTGGAACACAAAATGCAATAAGGTAATAACTTTTACCTTAATAGGATTTGTTATCCTACCAGTTAAGTTGTACACAATACCTGCTA